AAGCAGTGGTATCAACGCAGAGTACTGGTACGAGACGTCGGCACGCATCTTCTTTACGAGTACATTTCAACAAGTACGAGTACAACGCATGCTGTTTTTCTTTGATAATGACTGTCAGGATCGTACGATATATCTTCTTCATCTTCAAGTCATTTTCCTCGAGGCTGCATAGTGCTCCTAACTTCTTGTTTGAAATGAATTTCGGAACCGTATCAGACGTCCTGCACCGCTGGAGATATTTGATCGACTGGCGGAGGGTTACCACTTTTTGTCGAAGCGAAAGTGCTTCTTTGACTAGAGGAAACAGTCGTGGCGGTAAATCAGTTAGTAGCTTCCAGGTCTCCTCTTTCGTAAACCTCGGCATTGTTAGTATATGTGTTATTATGTGTTTGTGGACATCAACACAACCCGAACATAAGATTGGAGGAGGTTTGTGGTGGGGTAGGACATAAAATCAAATCTCTTACCACTTTAGGCCTCTGAAGAAGACGGACACGTCGAAACGTCAGGCCGCCACTAACAATAAACATCTACTAACCTCGGTCGGCTTACTAACATACTCACACATATACTAACAATGCCGAGGTTTACGAAAGAGGAGACCTGGAAGCTACTAACTGATTTACCGCCACGACTGTTTCCTCTAGTCAAAGAAGCACTTTCGCTTCGACAAAAAGTGGTAACCCTCCGCCAGTCGATCAAATATCTCCAGCGGTGCAGGACGTCTGATACGGTGCCGAAATTCATTTCAAACAAGAAGTTAGGAGCACTATCAGCCTCGAGGAAAATGACTTGAAGATGAAGAAGATATATCGTACGATCCTGACAGTCATTATCAAAGAAAAACAGCATGCGTTGTACTCGTACTTGTTGAAATGTACTCGTAAAGAAGATGCGTGCCGACGTCTCGTACCTGCTCGGACTTGGAGGAGGATTGAGAATGGCTCGAGATCAATTTGTGCTTCTATCCGATTTGAAGCCAAATCCAGACTCTGCGCTAAGTACGACAAGCTTCGAAGCGCTACTCACAAAAATCCAGGTAACGTTGAAAGCAGCTTACCTTTGATCCACCGCTCTATCGATTCTTCATCTCAAAATGAGATTTCCGCCGAATTGGCTAAAGTTACAGTGATTGGTGATACTCATATCTCTGAAAACGCGCTTGGGTTCCTCAGTCTAGGCCCTTCTTTTTCCATCGCTCAAAAAGTTGACGGGTCTGTTTTTCGGAAAGTTGTCGGTGGCTTACACAGACTCCGAGACCAGCTGAGAATAAGGACTAGACTTAGCGAGAACGACCGAAATCTACAGAATGCTAAACGAACAATTCCTCCCATTTTTTTTCCAAGTTTGCTTTATAAAGAACCTCAGCCAGTGGCTGAAGCTGACGTCAAGTTTAAGATTTTATCTGCTGGTGTGCTGAATGCTTATACTTATCAAACTAAGCACCCGCAACCGATCAACTTGACTCATTCGCAAAGGTTTGGCTACAAGGAAATACGTGATTTAGTCTCTAGTGAAGCTGTACGTATCTCGGTTAGCGACAAAGGGGGAGAATTTGTGATTCTTCCACGAATCTTGGACCGGAAAATCACAGAACTTCACCTTAGCGATACGACCATCTATCGCCGCGTGACTGAGAAAGATTTTCAAGCACAATACAAGCGACTAAATCATGTTTGGGTGGATGTAGGAAGAACAGCTGGCTTTCCCGAGAGCTTTCTCAGCAGACTGAAGTTAGAAACACCAGAGTGCCCGGTTTTTTATAGTCTTGTTAAAACCCATAAACTGACCGCTGCTGATGACGCGCGCATTTTAACGGCGGAACAGTTGAAAATAAGACCGATCATAAGTTGCGTAGGGGGACCTACCGGCCGAATATCCTGGTTCTTAAACAAGATTGTCAACCAGCTACTGGACAAAGTCCCGTCTCATTTGACCAATACGAATCATTTCTTGGAACGCCTCCATAACACCACTTTGCAAACGCAATGTGTGGCAGAGTCTTTTGACGTCGTGTCTTTGTACACGAATGTTCAAAACGACGATGCTCTGCAGGCAGTTTCGGAAATGTTGGACAACTTTGCTGAAAAGATCCAGACTTTCGGGCTGAGTAAAAGATCGGTTATGCTCCTGATCAAAGAATGTCTCTCTTGTAACATCTTTAGATGGTCAGGAACATACTATACTCAGCTAAGAGGTCTTGCAATGGGACAAAGACTAGCTCCAGTTCT